AAAGTCGAGGGACGGTCAGATTGGAGTCAATTGATGCACTTCAGAAGAAAGGTGCCGGCGTTCCGGCTCTGGCACGGATATTTCCGGATTACCATAAAGTAGGCTTTGTCTAGACGCCTCAACTGCAGGCAGAGAATGGAGCGCTTCCCGTCGGTGTCATCTGTCATGATCGCGCCGGCTTCTCACTGGATTTGCCAGAGTTCCTCGAGCTCCGCTTTGGATCGGCACAGAAACAGATCCGAATGGAAGAGCAGCTCTTGGACTTTCCCTCCGTGACACAACAGAGCAGAACGACGCTCATCCGTCCTCAGTGCAGAAGATGAGGCTATGAAAGCTCTTATCGACTAAATGAAGATACAGGAAGTGTTTGTAACATCATAACTTTAACCCTAAACACACCTAGAATCCAACTAACGATCAGCACATTCGTGACCAGGATGCAAAAATGGGAAGATGTTGATCATCAACCTTAGGAGGAACAATTAAATATCATATGAGTGGTTTAATTTTGCTTTCATCCTCTGCAATCTCCCGTTTGGAGAATGGGTATAGCTTTAAAATCAGATTTTTTTGTCAACAAGTACTTTTTATTGAAAATATATCTACATAAACTTTAAGTATGGCACTAGAATGAGCAGTAACATATAAAGAACATACAAAGCTGTTAGTTTAGGGCCAAGTGATGTTTTGTTGTCACTGATAAACTTGCATTTTCCATGAATTAAAATGTACTTTTTTCTTACAATAAATTTATTTTCAGGGTTGATGGTTGAGGTGGAAATCATCAACTAACTTCCATTAGTTAACATGTATTTACAATGAAATATATATCTAAAGTGTATAATCTTAATCTTAGTTAAGTTCAACATTTACCAATACATTATTAACATCAAATGTTGTTATCTGTTGTTAACCTGTTAATTTTCTTTAATGGACTTGAGCTAACAGTAACAATGAGAAGTTTTATTTATTTATTATTTTATCGAATAGCGTTATATTAAACAAAGATGTAAAAAATACTGTAATAAATGTATAGCTCATTTTAAGGTAACTAATGGGACCATATGGTAAATTGTTACGATGTAATTTCCTGGATGTCAGAATTATTATTATTATAATTGTTTTTGTATATGGGGGAATCATGCAATAACAGGGATGAGCACAAAACATGGGACACTGCTAAATTATATTTTGGTAATTAAAATGAGTCAATAACTAATAAAGTTCTTAATGTAATGTACTCGATCACAATTATGACATTGTTGCATGACATTGCTAGACATACATGAGAAAGTGGAGACTGGACAAAATCCCCATTTAAAGTCTGAAAACAGACATTTGATGTTTTTACATCTAGTTACTCTTCATGTTAATGGCTTCAGAAATATATATGTCTGTTTTCAGGACAGGATCGTGGGGTCGGTGCCTGCGGCGCTGTAACGTCAGCGCTGATGATATCCTCCGGCTGACTGTGTGAGTGGACGTCAAATGGACATCAGGTCACAGCACATTGAACTAAATGAATTCAGTTAATCTCTCTGATGTTTCTCCATCCCTGGAGCCAAATCCTGACGCTAATGTTCCCCCTCAGGGTCATTTAAAGCCCTTTCAGTGCCAGCATGTCTAGTGGCACTTTACTTCTCCAGAACTCTCTGCTTTCTTCAACCAACAACCTGAATCTGAATCTCTTATTTGCTCTGACGCATCTATTTCCACTGGATTCGTCCAAAAGTCATGCATGAGTTTTACAGCACAATAAAAAGTTTCAAAGAACATTCTGTCACTATTTACGCATCTAATGCTCCATTGTTGGTGTTTTGTTACAAAAAACACCATAAAAGCACAAATACAAGCAGCATGTGACTCATGCGCTATATTTCAAGTCCTCCGAAGTCACATGTTCACTTGTGACCCGAAATAAGAGCCACATTTAAGTTTTCCACTCATTATTTCCCCCTCTGCTGAAGTTCTAACATCATATGTGCATCAGGTTGGACGTCAGTTTTGAATATGGCCACAAACAAACTTTTTTTATGGAAAAGAGCAGCTTGAACGTTCTGCTAAACATCTCACACGCGTTTCCAGTGCATTCGTTTGGGTTTTTTGAGGCGAACCATTCTGTTAAAATGGTTTCTCTGAAGAGTACTCAGCCACCAGCAGCATTCGCGCTTCTCCATCGCAGGGACTTTTGTTTTCTTTGATGCAGAATGCATTGTGCCTGTGACCTTGTTGGCAAATATGGGCCTGAAATCCCTGGCCAGTCTGTGAAAGGACCGAACACATTGGTCCCAGTTCCGTGGGTGCATTCATGAATAAGACATGACCCATATCCCCACACAACACAAGCACGGCCGATTGAACGCCATGTTTTTAGAGGAAGAAAAGTATGTCGGGGCTTAACCGAGGCAAAGACGCTTTAATGCAAAGCTTGTTTTCGATGCTCGTGCAGTCTGCCGCAGCCTGATATCTTACGGCGGAATATGTATTAGTTTTGTGTCATTATTCATGCTCAAACGATGCTGCTTGCCCACTGGCTGAATGTGCAGTAATTACTACAACTCCGCTTCCTTCATTTATATTAATGGATAAATATTTGTTTAGGGCTTCCTAATCATAATTATTTCCATTTAGACCGTCATTCCAGGTGAGGCTCGGAGAGAGAACAGCACACGACTCGTACTCGTACTGCATTTATAGAGTATATACTGCTGTAATGTGTGAGTTCAGATGAGACACCGCAGACTCTCTGTGTGCAATACTCAATCACACAGCGCTTTGTGCTCCACTCGACCTTCCATTCCAGTGTGACGAACGAGCCGCCAGTCGTTTTTAATCTTCCTTGACTCATTATTGGATTGGAGACCCCGAGTTAAGACGTTTTACATACAATTTGATAGAGGTAAAATAATCACATTTATTCCCACCAAGGTAACTTCACATGTAATCTTTACCAAAAACCTAATTTCGAAGGATAAAAGCAATTTCTTTGGTTTTAACGGCTTGGATTGTAATTAATATCTATTTTATCTCCAGGTTGTTGGGTAAAAGTTCAAATACATGTCAGACAGTTAAACTTTCGCAGACAGGTACTGCACAGGATCTGATTGGACATACAGCATAAAATAAACTTTCATCACTGAAGTCAAAAAATGACTCTTTGAAATATGCAACAGACATTATTTCATCAAAGTATTTACTTAAAGACTCTTCTTGAACTAATCAAGATATTTTAGTAAAATTATTTAATTATTAAGTAGGTCTTACACTGGCATTTCAAATGTTTTAAATGCATATTATTGCTGACAGATAGAAGAATCTATTCAGTAACATTAATCACTGTTGTTATTGTTAGGTAAAACCAAAAGTTAATTAAAACAAAAGGGTAATTGACAAAACTGAATAAAATAAAATAAAAAATGTCATAAAAATGACAAATTTAAATTAAAATTAAAAATGGATAACTAACTAAAATAAGCTAATGTACTTAAACTACTAAAACTAGTAATTAATTAAATTAAACTATATACAAATGTTTAAAAATTCTAATAAAATTACTAAAACTATTAATTAAATTTAACAGCTATATAAAAATATATATATTTTTTAAATCTAATAAAATTTCTAAAACTATTATTTAAAAAAATAATAAATGAAATTAATTAAACCTATATACTTAATATTAAAGCACATAAATAAAAAAAATGAAAAATTTAAATGAAATTATGAAAATATTAGCTAATTCAAAATAATAAACACTATAAATAATGATAAAATAATAAATACTATATTTAATAAATATAATATAATACTTAATAAATGCTATAAGTAATACTACAATAACACTGATATATTTATAACTGAAAGCACTGATATTATGACACAATCTGGGTCAATATCATTGTGTAAATATAAAGGGGGCTAACTGTATATCTTAAATAAGGTAATAAATTGAAGCGTATTTTTCTCAGACACACAGATGGCAGGGAGATCTGAGAGTTATGAAGGACACGTTCTGCTGTATGTCCTGTAACATCGCCCTCGGTCTCCCCTGCTGTTCACATCATATCTGTACAGACAGCAGTGTATACTGCAGAGTATTCTCAACATATCCAGAGAGATTCACAGACTCCCCCCTGTGTGTGTGTGTGTGTGTGTGTGTGTGTGTGTGTCAGAGAGAGAGAGAGAGAGAGAGAGAGCGTGAGAGTGTGTGTGTGTGTGTGTGTGTGTGTGTGTGTGTGTGTGTGTGTTTTCTAAGCGCCACACTGCTATTGTGTTGCAGGTTTTATCAGGCCTGAGCTGCAAACAGCAATACTCTCCCTCCAACAACAGATGTGGCCACAAAGGAGCGAGAAGGAGGGAGAAAATAAAATGTTTTGCCAATAACCATGCTAATGTTTGGAGGTGGAAAGTATATTCTTCTCTTGCATTTCTCCCATTTTAGGTCTGGCAGAATCTTTCTCAGGCCAACCAGAGGGCTGTTTTGTTTAGTAGATGCGTTTCATAATTTCATTAAAAGATAAGTCGGGTAAAAGCCTTTCGTTGGGTCCGAATGGTAAAAACTGGCAAAGGAGAGCATTTTCACTCCGGTTTCTCCACACGGACGCTGACACATCCAACAAGGCCTTACAAGGCCACTTTGTAAGAAATGTTGTAAATGTAGCATAAAATTAGAGTTATATTGATGATGCAGAAGCTAGCGAGCGGGAAAGCCCGTCTGCTAATTAGAATATTAATCACCCCGTTAAAAAGCTCCAAGGTCAGTGCGAGCTGAAGGAGCTTTTCCATTTTTCATGATCAATCCGTGGGACGCTTTTCTAGAAATAAATCGTCATTTGCTGCATTGGCCAACTACTCAAATGACACAAACACACACACACACACACACACACACACACACACACACACACTGAAGAAAGATACAGACAAAGCCAACATACCTGTGAAGGCTGGAAGGCAATGAGAGAGCAAAGGTTAGCGCAGGTTTTTGGTCGTAAACCTACCACGTAAAACAGTGAGTCGTGTGGTGGCGCTCGTCTCCCCAACACTGTTGGAGGCGACACATTCGTAAATGGCTTCATCGCGCGGAGTCCGCAGCGGCTGGATTCTCAGAACGGAGCCCGATCCGTCATCGAACTCTATGACCTACAGGTGCGAGAGACAAGATATGTTACGAGAGTTTTTTTTGCTCACAGGTGACGACAGACAATCATGCTCTCACACACACTTCATCCTGACACAGAGCTCTGACAGACAACGGACACCGCGGCACGATGTTCATTTACGCAACCTGACGCAACAGTACGAACACAGGACACAGAAACAGTCTGGTTAAGATCTGCAGTCGGGCTGCGACTGGCTTCCTCAGAAACATGTGCAATTGCTGGTATTTTGGAGATCTCTCTTCTTGAAGCCCAGCGAACTCTGAGAGATTTGATCTTATGTTGTGTCCTTAATGATTGTTTCTTATGAACATTTGTACGATATGACAACGATCTTAGCTGAAGGTCACAACTGACTGTCTGTGCAAAAAACAGTCTGTTGTTAGTATGCCTCTTTTAAACATAATTTCATAATTTGATTGTTTTTTTTTAAAGTCTCTGTGTAAATCATCATAAATCATTAGCGTAAATCCTTTGGTAGTGTACATGGGAGTTAATTTTAATTCCAACTACTATACATGGGGACCAAGTAGTATACTAAAATTATACTAGAAGCATGATGTTATATTCACATATAATTATAATTGCAATATTAAAACTATACTTAAAAGTGTACTTTCACAAGCTAAAAAGTGGCTAGAAGTATAGAGCTAGTAAAAGTAGAGTTCACTTGTAGTATATTGTAGTTCATGAAAAACTAGTTGTGTACTCAAGTTTACTACTGCTAGCTACTCTTAAAATATGCATACAAGTATACTTTTACTAAAAAGCAGGCCAATTTAGTCCTAAGTAGCATTGAACATGCACACAACATACCTTACAAAAAGAAGTATGCTTCAAGTTAATTGTGTTAACTTAAGTGAAGTTCAAGTATATCTTTCATGTATACTTTATGTAGTAAGTATAGTAGTTTCAATGCACTAGTTCTATAATTGTATGTATTGCAACACATTTCAGAACTAAATTGGCCCACTGTTTAGTTTATAGAAGTATACTTTCAAGTGTACTTTGCAAGTAACGGTAAACTTTGGGTACACCACTGGTCTTCTTTGTATTGCAAGTATACTTTGAACTATACTACAAGTGAAATCACACGTATAATGTTAGTTATATACTTCTAGACTTTATTCAAGTGCACTTCAAAATATACTAGTTTAATATTCCCTATGCAGCATGTATAATTGAATGCTATCTTTAAGTGATCTTTTCATCATACTTAAAATTTACTGTTTACTTTTTGTTCTTCTCTAAGTACACTACTAGCGTCCTATTTAGGTGATTTGTATACTTGAAATAAAGTTCAGTTGAAGTTCACAAATTGTTTACTCTGATAATGGCTTATAATAGAAGCCCATGTGAATCATGTCTGATACAAAACTCTCACGCCTCAGAAGAAATGTCAGTAAAGCCTGCCAAATGTTTATCTGTTTCTGCGTGGGTTAATAACACTGTGTACAAAAAAGGTCAGATTCATTTCCACCATGTATTATTTACTTTAAAATTTTCCACCGCAAAGCTGACTTATTATAAACTTGTAAAATATATGCTGAAGTTGAGTAAAAGAAACCAGTGTGTGTGAAGGAAACGTACAGAAAAGCTTAATACACCATTCTACACCAAGTACACTTGGAATACTAAATTATACTTTTAAGTATACTTAAGTATATAACAATTCAACAGTATAAGCCAAGTACACTTAAGTGCAATTTTAAAATGAACTATACTTAAGCATATATCTCTATATAGTCTGTCTTGTAATGCACTGGGCAGAAATCAGTCACACATGTTTGAGAAGCTGGCTTTGGTTTGTGTAAAATGCTCAGTGAATGTCTGAAGGCGATGCTAATTCTTAAGCCAGACGTTTCACGATAAACCCGGTGGCTTTAAGAATGGGACGGCGTGGTCTGGCCCACTCTTAAAGCAGATCGCATGAAACATGAAACGAGGATGGTGATGTGACGTCGCAGGCACAAACGTCATCAGACAGTCGATTAGCCTCGACGCCAGACAGACGGGACACAGGACGCTCACAGAAAGGTTTAGTTGCTGGCAATCGGGAGATGTATACTCACTTCTGACAGAAACAACCAGGACGGGTTCTCCGTTTTACAGACTTAAATACATCAGTGGTCATACGCTGCGGCTTTTCTTTCACTCTCACTTTTCACGTAAAGAAATGCGAGTATGACCACGCGCTCACATGCATGCACTTGTGTGAACAGTAGATGAAGATGGTTGTGCGGCAAGATGATGCAGAAATTAATAAAAATCTTATCAGTGTTCAGCTGTGATGCGTTGGTTCATCATGCTGGGCTGAGATGGCGATCCAAAAACAGATAAATAAACATACGGGACTGAGCCGCGGAACATGCGCTGGGAAGCAAATGAGATGCTCAACACAAGAACAAAAACCACTTCTGGGAACCAAGTGCATTTCAGAAATGCAAAGCGCATGTTTGACGAAAGCATCTGATCCATCATTTCCTTAAATGAAGGTAATTCTTATTATCTCATGCTGTTGAGATCAGCGGCCGGATTCACGAAGCATTCTTATTTTACTATCATTGGGATTTTTTTATTATTTTATTTTATTATTTCTATTTTTGTAGTGTCTGTTTTCATTTTAATTTAAGGTTTTTTGTTTGTTTGCTTGTTTTCCCCAAATATGACTGTGAGAAATGTTGTTTTGGCAACTAGTTGAAACAAAATAAGTTTAAACTTTCTTTGTTTTCTTTTCTTTTTAGTTAAAGTTTTTTATCATTTCCAAATAACAATTTTTGGATGGTTTTAGTTTTAGTTAGTATAACCCTGCTTAAGAAAAAAAAGTCTTAACTGCCATGCCCCCCTATTTTCTAACTTAAGTAGTATTTTTGGGAATACAATACTTTTTTTTTTTGCCATTGTTCTTAAGACAACCCCCAACTTGTCTTAAATCCCAAAACAAGTTTAAGAAATGTATCGGGTTGTATCAAATTAATTGTTACTTTGCACAATTAACAAACAAGATAAACGCACCAGTCTGATCCATCTTAAGACAAGCACATTTAAAAATAATTATTTTAACTCGCATTAAAAATATGATGAATGCAAGTGTGATAATAATAATATGAAGCAAGTGTGCTTTTTCCAAAAATAGTAATACATTTATTCCTAAAAACTTAAAGAACTTAAGGAGAACTGCACTTAGGAACTACGCTTTAGCTTTTATTACTATTGTTATTATTGTTTCCCCTTGTTTTTTCTAAAGACGATTTTCATGAATCCGGCAGCGGGACATGAGTGATCATGCATGTTAGTGGTGGGAGGATATGCTAATGAGTGGGTGTGGCTGAAGCAGTGGGTGTGGTTAATGGGCGTGGCTGTCGTTAGCATTCACTTGTCGAGCATTTTACATCAGAACAATAGACCTAATACCTCAAAACGCTGGTTGCTCACTCTCTTCCCCTTCTTGTTCCACACGATCTTGGGCCGCGGGTCGCCCGAAGCCTGGCAGATGAAGGAGGCGACGCCGCCCTGAACGCCCGTCTGATCGTTCGGGGTTCGCAAGAACTTTGGTGGCGCTGAAAGACAGAAAGTGGGAAGATTACACAACTGATTCAGACAGATTACTGAACAGAGACGCGTTACACAAAAGAAGAAACACAATCAAATGAACAGAGCAAAGATGTGACGATAGTCCTATGAACACTGAAGGCAAAATCACTCATGAGGCAACTAAATGCATTTAAAAACATAATCAACAAACATAAAATTGGTGAATGTTTTATATCAGAACAACAAACCTCAAAACTCAAGCTTCACAACTTTAAAAATTTTAAGTTATGCACTTTTCATAAGTGTTTAATCTTTTTGTTTTCCCAGTTCAATTGGTATTTGTGTGTATGCATACTATTTATTTATTTATATATTCATTCATTCATTTTGTTCCCAACAAACCATGAGTGGGCCAAATACAGCAGTCATTACCAACACACCAAACATTATAAACAGCAGTTTCATTTCCCTCAGAAGTCTGTGTTTGTTAGTGATGGAGACGAGCGGCGACTGGATCACATCAGAGACACGAGATCAGAAACACCATTTATTTTAAGAGTTTTACATCATGATCTGTGTGCTGTTTATTAGGCGTCATTAATAGAGCAGACGGTAATGAATCCCAGAGTCCAAAATTAACGCTCGCCATGATCCAAATGAGGTAAAAACCGCAGAATGAATATTTGTCCTGTAACATTATTAGCAACATAATGCATGATTTAAATGCTATATAAGAACAACTCTATCTTGCTGATGTAAGAGACACAAGATATCAAAATCAAACACATTCAGATGACTGAAACGCCAGCGACTGACACATGACTGAAGATCGAGGTAAAAATACTCAAATATTTCACACGCACCGCAGAGAAACAGTGTAAAAACAATCAGATGAATCTGGGGGCGGGATCTTGAGTGCACTCACACACTACTGTTCATTTAAAGAAGTAAATGTTTTTATTCATCAAGGATGCAATAAATTGATCAAAAGGGAAAGTAAATACGTTTGTAAAAATGTTAAAAAAGATTTCTGTTTCAAATAAATGCTGTTCTTTTGAACTTCCTGACAAATAAAACGCATCAGTTTCCACAAAAATATTGTGCAGCACAACTGTTTTCAACATTGATAATAATCAGAAATGTTTCTTGAGCAGCAAATCATCATATTAGAATGATTTCTGAAGATCATGTGACACTGAAGACTGGAGTAATGATGCTGAAAATACAGCTGAATAAATTAAATTTTAACATATTCACACAGAAAACAGCTACTTTAAATTGTAATAATATTTCACATTTTGTTCAAATAAATGCAGCCTTGGTGACCAGAAGGGACTTCTTTCAAAAACATTCAAGCATTATTATTATTTATTTACTATTATATAATTCATTAATATTTTAAATTAGTTTTATATTTACAGTTTTAATAACTTTGTTATGCACTTTCATAATTTGTATCAGTTTGTTTTAAATGACATTTCTATATAACTTTAGTTTTTGTTTTAGTAATTTTATTTAGTTGCCAATTTTCGCTTAGTGTTTCATCTAACATTTATACTTCATTTCATTTAACGAAACAGATTTTAATAGTTTTAGTTAGCAATAAGAGCAGTGTCACATCTCTCGTATGATGGATCATGGCGGTGAGCACTTGTTCCCTAGTTAGAGAGCTGCTCGTGCTTGAGGCGGGCAGTTAATACAAGATGTGACATACGTATCCCATAGTCCCTGTCTATAATTGGATCTGTGAGCGGGGTGTCACCGCCGCGACCAGAGGGATTTCACTGAGTCGCCCAAAATATCTGCCGTCGCTGCCAACAGCCACCGCCTCTCTCGCGCTCGCTCTCTGTACTTCAAAGAGCAGTTTCTCAGCATGTAAATATGTAAAATCGTATCTGGTGCGGCTGTCATACAGCTATCTGAACATGTGCCGAATAACACATCAAAGATGCGGCTGTCAGTGAATCTGCTCTAATGGAGTTTGGGTCGACAGTAAACCCCGCTTAAGAGCTCACGCTGCACATCAGCTCCAAACACACCCAAACACGGAGAAACAGCAGCACACGTGTGTGTGTGTGTGTGTGTGTGTGTGTGTGTGTGTGTGTGTGTAATCATGTTTTCCAGCAGAGCTGACGTCTGCTATAAAACATGATCACTTTCACTCAGCTCCATGTATTTATAGATAACGTAAGGAAAATACTCCTGCTCATCTGAAATGACCTATTGTACTATGTTAAGTCCCAGTTGTGATGGATAGTCTGTGTGGAGTGTTTTGCAGATATGATGGTCTCAGTGTTTCATGGTCCTGACGCTTTAGGGAAACACAGATCTGTCCTTTTGAAGCAGGTGTGTTTATTAGTCACGTTAAATTAATGAAAGCAGTTAAATATTCTGTTTATCCAGCTACCTCTATAGGGATTTCCTGAGTTTCTTCTGCGAGGTGTATTTGGAGTTTCAGCGCGAGAGCGCCCTCTGGCCTTTGGATGGAGATTTACTGCTGATCACAGAAACGTGCTTCACTGAAAGATACGCATGACAATCGCAGCTTCTGTCTAATCACGATTTATCGCCTTTGCGATTTAATTTCGATTTATAGTGCAGCCCTAGCAGAAAGGGCCCTAAAAGGCCATATTAGTAAGACTGACTTTCATTTTTGTAGTCATTTTATTTTTCCCCAATGTGAAGGCATTCGTTTTCTCATCTTGAAGAGGATTATGGGTAATTCTGTATCCCGCTATGTACAGTATGTACATGCACAGTACGGCTGCATGATTTGGGGGAAAAGTGTAATTTTCCTGATAAAACTGCTATTAAAATTGCCATAAAATTTTTTATAAAAAACTCGCAAGTTTGTTGTGCTTGTTTGTAGGGCTGCACAATTTGGCAATTGATTTTTTTTAATAATAATAATAATAATAAATTATTATTATTATTATTATTATTAAAATATTAAACAAAAGACATACTACTACTGCAAAATTTCACTTCAAGATAAGTCAACAAGATTGTTTACAGTACAACTGTAAAATTACTAAAAATATTAAACAAAACAATAAATATTTTCTAATATGTCACTTATACTTAAGTATTTAAGGCAAAAATAATAATGACAACAGCTGCTTTAAAAATAATTCACACTGCAAGTTTGGAAAATGTTTGACATGTTGTTTTTAGATGCGACTCAAACCGCTGGCGTGTAAATGAACACAGTGCTGCGCATGACAGCGCATGAACCACATCACACAGTTTTATTGTAATTAATAGTGCAGCCGTACGGCAATAAAGCACACTCAATGTGAACTGCTATTTCCAGCAAGATGAATGAACAGACGGTGATATCAGCTGTGTTTTGGATTTTTGGTTATTTGATCAGGTCAAAATGCATAATGCATTCAGTCTCAGACACGAGTGCTGCAGTCTCCTGCAATGCTGCATGACTTCCGCTTCATTCATCACACTGGAAATGGATGCAGTGCGCACTGCATTGTGGTGTGTGTCGTGCGGTGAGCTCTGCTGTGAAGATGCAGTAGATCATCTGGGCGTTTCACGAGCACAGAAACAGTTCAGTCTCTCAGTCCATCAGAATACATTTGTGTCTTTTCTCTTCTTCAGAAGCGAGTGACACGTTCGATTTCTCCTGCGTGAGCGGCTTGTATCCCCTGTCTGTCAGAGACACTTTCATGATTAGAGTCTGTCAAACGAGTGTCTCTCACAAACACTGTGCTTTAAATATGCTGTTAAGCTACCAAAATCACAAATACAAACCTCCTGTCTTTGCTTGTGAGACTTATTAGATATCTAACATCATATTATTATCGCATGAAGCTGCAGTTTTAAACATCAGATGTCTGTTTGTGGGAAGAAGGAAATAATCTCATGCCATTTAACTCAATTTTACACACATTGTTGACTTCATTCATCAAGCTCAATTGTTCAACATTGTCAAAGTTATTGTTACTGTATTGTATTATAGTGTAAAAAACAAAACAAAACAAAATCTAATAAAAAAGAAAAATAAATAAAAAATAAAATAAATAATGTGAACCCAGTTGTCTGTTTGATCTGGTTGAGATTCAGGGTTTGTCAGGCGTTTACTGCTGTCATTTTATTTGGATGAATATTTTTGGCCACCACTTCAAACAGACACTTTAACCTGCAAAACAGCAGTCAGGACCGGTGCAGATGTCACACACCAACACACCTGTTACCACCCTCCTCACGCTCAGGTGTGTCTGAGTGACCCGCGTGTGACCGGGGACCTCCATTACACACCAACACACACACACACCTCACGTCTGCCATCAGAACAACACACAACAAACACCTCCAAAACCTGTTCACTGAAGAAACTCATAAACATGTCAATGTGATTCATCAAATCAGGAGCTGTATGCAGATCTTTGCTCTTCATTACATTCACTTTCCTTCATCATGTTTGAAGTCTCAATATGTTTCATCAATACAAACTAACTAGGTTGAGACTACTTTTTAACTACTTTGTAAACTATGATGCTACTTGCTTTGATATTTGGATATTTAATACAATGGCATTCAATCAGTGTGAAGTAATTGTTTCAATACTTCTTCTGCGTTGCTGTGTATTCCAGTTGTTCCTAAAGACTGCAGGATTGGCTTATATCACACATACACGCTCGTGTGAGAGCAGTGTGACCTTCCATGGTGGTCTGTGAGAATGTTTCAAACCATTTTCACAGCACAGCGACTTTATAACGGCCACAACAACATAAAATCTGCCCTGCCAGAGGTGACTGGCCCACACACACCTGACAGACACACACACAGCCGTCTGTCTGACACATCTCGTGCAACACAAAAACATACACAACTAGGGATACGCCGGTATCAAATTTTCATGTTGCGATTAATTGCTAATGCTTTTATCACGGTATACGGTATTATCACGATATTGCACGATAACAATATCGTGCATATTCATTACCGTGATATATCGCATTACCGAATACCGGCACAAGTCTATACACAACACCGTTTTCAAGCGACAGAC